ATTTGTGATGTCGACATGAGTGGAGTGGATAAAAGCTATGACAAACTGATCAAACGAATCTGAAAGGGTCTGTTTGTCACTGTCAGATTACAAAAGTACATGGATAAAGAGGAACCTAGATGTATGGTTTTCATCTCCAAACTATTAGAGTCGTTTCTGTCATGTATCTCTGTTGCTGAAAAGCACTTGGGACTTTGAAAAGCGCCATCTGAATATAGCACCGCTGGATTTTTCTTTTGCTGTGTCATCAACCATAAATTCGCGCTCAATACTAATCACATGACCCTGCTAACAGCAGTGACTCAGAATGGTGTATCTCCCAACGTTCATCCTGTACACGGTATTTTTAAAGCGTGCAGGTAGACTTACTAAACGAAACATGATTTGCAAGTTCGCCTTTTGGTGACTTATAAGCATATGCAATAGGAATAGGTTTGCAAGCATGTACTAGAGGGAACAACCTCAAACAAAAACTCATGTTTCCAAGATCCATTGGAAAATTCGCGATTTATTTTTTAATTAATGTCTATAAAATTCCGACTCTTAGGTCAGTGGTGCCTTTTTGTTTTTATAAGAGCCTTCCTGACTTTTTTAAGGACGAAAATCATTATTTTTATCATACCTGACACCATTTCTACCCAGAAAGTTACGAAAAGTTTACTTACGCGTTCTCAATATGCTGCAGTCACAGAACATCGTAGCAATAAAATCCCAGCGCGTGCAGTGCCGCAGTGCCCGGTTGGAAATCGAGAATATTAGCGACACGGCCGGCATTAAAGTGTACCAATGGGTTTCACAACGGTATTTCCTGCAGGTCCTGGAGGTAGCTGTGGTCCTTTGAGGATAACGAAACATGTTGATTTAAACAACGCCAGAGTTGTGTTTACTTTCCTGAAGCTTGAATTGCCGTATCTCTAAAGTAGAAAATCGGTTTCATTCTTCTCAAGACGGTCATGTACATTACCTTTTAGATTCCAGAGGAAAGATGCGGAATTCCAATCGTTAATCAATTCCAAAGAGTCTTGCTACCAGACGCCCCTGTTACGGCAGAAAATGGTGACAATCGGCCAATAATGTAATGCCAGCCCATAATGTAATAAACATCGGCTGGTACTGTAATACCGGCCGATAATGTAATAACACTCGACCAATAGTGTCATAACCGTGACCCAAGCCACCCATAATGTATTAAAAATCAGCTGATAATGTAATAACCCTAGAACCGTCCGATAATGTAATAACACGGATGCCGATAATGTAAAAACCGCAGATTTGCTTAATTCTTAGAAGGCTTTGGGGGCTTCGGATCCTGCAGATCCTTCTTATTTTACCTTATTGCTTTTGATGTTACAATTGTTCAACATATTTTGTCATCAAATTATAACTGAATGGACATCACCTTTTCCCAAGGTGTATATAACACTTACATGAATTATGGTGACCTTATTGCATAAATTTTGTTATTTTATTTGGTGTTGAGGTAATTTCAATTAACATGCACATTCACCTATTGGGAATAATTGGCATTTAATGTGCAAACTTCAAAGCTCTATGCATGTATCTCCTTAAGTACACGTTCCACTGGGTTGAAATTTTGCAAATATATGTAGCTAGAAAGGGAAATGTTGAGGACAAAAACTGACATCATGTCATGATGACATCATCAGCTGACAAATCACATGACGTAAAAGGTGCTTCCTTTAAAGCCCCATATATTTTCGAAACAGCGAATCAAGTTGGGTAAAGACTTTGAAGACATCACAAAAGAAATATGTTATGGACGAAAACTGACCTCATGTCACGATGACGTTATCAGTTAACATTTCGGCTGACATTAGAGATGTATCCTTTAAAGCCCTGTATCTTCCGAAGGGCATGTCCGAGTGGCTTGAAACTTTGCAGGTAGTGCGAAGCTCTTGTTTTATATACGAACACAAGCTCATTGAGCAGCTCATCACGTCAGATTGGATATAATACTCCTTAAGAAGCAAGCCTGAGTGTCCCCTAGCAGGTCAGCATCCTAACTCTCAATTCAACAGTGATTCCTACCCTCGAAAATAGATGAAAGTGAAACAAATCCTTGCACATACCTGTCAAAATTTCGTTCTGGCTCAAGCTACTCCTTTGCAACATCATTATATTCTGAATTGTTCTCATGAACACATAGCTTGTTTTTGAGCTTTCTAGAGTTTCTTTAGTATAAGAGGAATCCTGCAGGGAAAACTTCGAAGAAAACCTAACTCCCATACGACCTTCTAAGAAAAAAGCAAATCTACAGTTATTACATTATTGGCCAGTATTACACTGATTGACCGATTGCCACATTATTGGCCGTAACAGCCCCTCCCCTCCAGTGTCATATACGTGTGCCATGTACCAGCAGAACTATTACACGTACATGTACATGTACTTGCTTCCTTCTCTGACAGCAGATAGTAAGTTGTTGAAGAGTCACTGCGCCTGGTAGGACACTCAACAAAAGCCTGCCTCCAACAAGTAATCAGTACGGTGTACTATTTACGACACATTTTTTCTCTCTCTCTAGACTCCCTCCAGGCGACGCATCTACACAACGCAACGCCACGAGGCGACAGTAAGACGCGACGATACGACGCGAAGGCAAGACGGCAGGACACGACACAACGACCCGACGTCACGACGCTACGACACGACTGCACGTAATGCATTACACGGCGATGCATCTACACAACGCGACGCCACGAGGCGACAGTACGTCTCGACGCTACGACACGACGGCACGACGTAATGCATTATACGTAGCCTAAAAGTAACGGGAAAGGAGGCAACGCCACGAGGCGACGGCGCGACGCGACAGAGCTGTCGTAGCATCGCGTCGTGGCTACGCGTCGTGTTGTCGGGGCGATGGGACGACGCCACGCACATTTGGAGGCTATAGAACACCATACGACGGGTCCCTTGCTAAGCGTCGTGAGTAGTCGTGCAGTCGCCGTCGCATCGTGCTGTCTTCTTTCCTTTCCTTGTTGCATTTTTTCTGCCTAAACGTCGCTCCTTCCGTCGCCAGTCGTGTGCTGTCGTCCTTTGCTTCAGAGTGTTTATAGACGGCGCTTTTACTGTTTCTTTCATTTCCATCCATCCCACTTGCGCAGTGCATGCTATTGGTAGCAGGCCTTGTCGATTCTGTTCTTTTCAATGCATTCTTTCTAACTTAGTGTTTTCTATTGAAAATGAGCTGTTGAAAAAAAGGGTTTTGTTCTGTTTCTGTTTTAAATCGAGAGAAGCTCCGTGAAAATTGCATTTGTTTCTTAAATTAGCATTATGCACCATCCAAACACGCTTTATATCTTATTTAAACTGTAATTAGTATAAATTGCAGATAACTTGTAAATAAACTATGAAGACACGTTGGTGTATAATCGAGGGTTTTCATTGTGTGTCATGTGGGAATTATGCTTTGAGTTCACTCATACACAATTTCAATTCAGCTGGTTAGATGAATACAGACAGACATAAAGACATAGTACTCTTGTGTTAATAACATGTATGTGCTTGGTAAAAACGATTTGATGATGTCCCTTTTGGTTCATTCTTCATTTCGCTACATATATCCGTTGATTTTTTACACCATCGAAGGCGCTGTTACTGTGATCTCGTTGTAATTGTACGATTTTACAAGTAGTCCTATTGACATTGTAGACTCGACATCTTCTCGAACAAACGTTTTTTGAGAAAACGTAACTTACCTACGGTCATGGACTAATAAATCAGCGGATTACAAAATCTGCAAATATTTACGTTGGAAATACCAATAAGTCTTGCAAATAATGTCAATTTGATGTAACATTAAATTTCATTACTCGGATTAACGAATGGGCGAATTCTAGTTATTTCTTATTTGCAAAAACGGTACAAGGCGCAACTTACACGTTTTGCTAGATGTGGTCCAAAGAAAGTGTAACAGACGTTATCTAAATGACAACTGTACTGCCCTCCTTAAGATGTTTCTAATCTCAAGTTGGCAGCCAGCCAAACTCCTATCACTGACGAAATGGGAGTCAGGAAATAACTTCGCATGTAGCTCCGGTGTTTTAATATTTGGTCACATTGGATGATGATGTCATTGACATGGAGTAAAACTGCGTAGTTAACGAGAAAACACAAGCTATGGATACGTATACTACACTATTACTACACAAACACTACACATGTATGAGTCTCTTGTTTCAAAATACACTGAGATTCATGCTAATAACTAGTCGAACGAGTACATGTGCACATAAATACTGAGCTCACAAAGCCCGAAATATGTCGATTTAACAGGCCTGTTAGTCACGGTGCAGAAAATATCCACACGCATCCCCATGACCACGTTGATCGCTCGGTGTGTTATATGTTGTTGCCTCCTTATACATGTCAACATGTGGGTATATACATGTGTAAACAACTTGACATGAAAACCGATTGTCATAAAGGCCTCTAAACTACTTGAAATACCTCTTGATAAGGAATAAAACCGGAATCAACTTACAGGCAATGCTTCACTAGGCGCTATATACAGTTAGCAAGGAGCGAGAGGAAAATTTGTGCCCTGAAAATGTGGGAAAACGATGCACCAATTCACTGTGAGAAATCCACTGTCTACGGATGAGTGTAAAGCATGGTTCTCAGATTACCGGTCAAAGGAGGGCGCTATTAACTTTTTTGTAAGAAATGCACTGGAAGCAAACATAACTAAAGCCCCTTGCTTATATCAACGCCTTAGAAAATGGTTACGGCGTGAATCCATCGCCAATTTCTGAGCGTAAAACTGTAACCTCCCTTATGCTTTGTATCAAGCTATAGTCACTAATATCGTGGTTAATTTACATGTTACTTATCTGTCCGAAATTCACTCATTTGTATCCTCTTTCATTTAAATCACGTACTTCGCGTCTAAGTACTCTTAGTTTCGAGCCAGTCGAAGACTGGACGTGGACGTGTACGTTCTCCATCGTCTTCACTTTGGCAGAGTAAAACACAAGCATGTACATGAACCTTTCCATTTCACCTCCCTGCTTCTCGTTTGTCTCACTTTGAGTTGAGCTGTGCTGCCAGGACACGTAGACGTGAATTGACCTCATCCCATTCGAGGTAACCCCCTTCAAGATGGCGGCCACCAGCCTGAGTCACTCTGAAAGAGCTTCGGCCGTGCAGGGCACGGCGGTTGTTGAAAGTCATGATATCTCCTGTGAAATTGGGGGGGGCGGTTTTACTGGCTTGCCTTACAATCCGCCTCGACCAGAAGTACCCCCTTATCGGTGGGAAAGAACTATTTTTTGTGGGATTGGCCATGTTAACATGACCGTTACGGGTGAATTTCAAATGTATGTTTGCTAACCAGCAAAAAGCAGATCCCATTAAAGAAGCCTCACTTAAAAAGGCAATATAGCTTCCTCTTTGGCTTTCCCTTGGGGTGGATGGTCAAACTCAAGTGATCCATGCAATGACTTTTTTCTCATGCAGAATCACTTTTTGCGTATGAACGCTTCGACGAAGGTACACGCAGTTATCATAAAATGGGCCTGTCTAGACGCCAACACATACGAACGTCATCACATTGAGTTAAAATGCTTATCACTACTCTTTGAACATGCGTTTTCAGTGTGAAGGCTTGGTTCGTGGTTTGTGTGTGCAAGAATCAGTTCCATCCATTTTCGTCCAAACGAAAAAAGAAGGTTAGTACTGGGGTCGTCAAGTCATGCACACCCAGCAAGACAAGGATTTTAATCGCATGAGCGCATTTATAAATAAGTACAATCTTTATTCTTTTTCATGATCATGGAATAAGGAAAAACTAAGAAAACTTAAATCTTTATACTTACTTCACGATACTTGCCTGGGCAACGGGAACGACGACAGCAATCTTGCTTACTGGCCAGATTCTCGCTGATAAATAAAGCACTGCAACTTTGGAAAGCAACGCGCATTCGCATAAGCATAGACTTGCCTTTTTATGATAATTTCCCGGTACCTTCATTAAAAAAAAAATTATATCGAAGAAACTGCACTTCGCTGGTTCACAGACGAATGCGAAATGCACGCGTTACGGTCGCGTCGCTATCAACAACATGAACACTCCCCACCAACATGGCTCTTCTTAACCGATGAGTGGGTGCTGTGATCAAGCCAGATACCAGCTAAAATTCCACTTTAGTTTTGGATTCGGAAATAAAATTGACTGCTTAAGACAAAGGTCCTGGTGCTGCTATTTGATTTGACTTTCTTTGGTGGACGTGATAACCCGCTGCCGGGCAAGAAACATGTCACTTTTGAACAGAAAAAAAGTGTCTTCCACTGTAATGTGAACATTTCCACATATATGAATTGCCTCAGTGTTCTACTTACATAAACCGCACAAACTACCAATAACTATGGTTTATATATTATCTTAATTTACCTTAAATACAACAATGCGTCTGAGCCATTTCTCGGCCCTTATTATCACTTGTCATGCTTCCAACGGCTAATGAATCAAATTTTCAAGAAAATGGTAAAAGTGCTTACCCTTTTCCATTTTGTATTTGAAGACATTTTGCGGGTCGAGAAGCATGTTGCAGTACTTATTCAAAGCTCGATAGAGCGGCTGGACCTGGTGGAGAGGAGCCCTCAGCATTGGGTCTCGGCTGTGGTCACTCAAAGTCACCGACACGACTTCCCCGCGTTCGTCCAGTCTTAGCGGGATTAAAATGATTGTAAAATAAAAACTTGGTAATTTTTTTCTTTTATTATTTATTTCTTGCGTAAGTGCATATCGAAACGCATAATAGATTTCCTCTAAACTATGCGTTTTAGCCAAATTTTCGTGGGCAGCTTCATTGTATGGAAAGACGATGGACGCGACTAAGCGACTAACTCTGATTAATTTCCAATGGTAGTGTCGGTGGAACAGGATTCTATTTTAAGAAAGATACAATTTTAACACTATAAGCTGGACAACAACGATGTATCAAGACCCCTCAAGATTACAAGAGGACGCCAAAGACAATCGTCGTACGGCGCACTGCCTTGGTGTCCAGTCTTTTTAAAGTCACATACCACTCTAACAAAATATTTTGTTGTCATTGCATAGAGCAATGACATGTGACTGGCCTTAAATATGGTCCCGTGATGGTGGCTGCAACACTGCTGGTCAAAGCCGCCACCCAGTACGTCTCACGGACTTAATGGGTCGGAACAGCCAGCAGGTCAGTGTCATTATGGTCCAGGTTACAGGTGGTACGTGCCTTCACTTGAAAACAAAGTTATCAATACTACAAGAGAAGGAGCGTTTGCCTTCCAAAGCAAATCATTGCCTTGTCACACCTTTTTGTGACCCTTACCTAATAGTCGGGTGCCGAGAGTACTGGTGGAAGCTGCCGTAGTAATCTGTGCCCACGTCAGAAAATTCGAACGGAATGGTGGACAGAAGTCGAAAGGCCTCTGGGTCATCTTCCTTCAGATCCATGGCAACCTTGAAGCCGTCAGAGAAGAGATTCTCGCCGCCAGTGCCCTCCGCTTGATCTATGCAGTGTAGCATTTGAATCTAGTTTTACGAATGAATTAAAGGAAGATTTGGGCGCGCAGATTTGTTCAAGATTTGATTCATAAAATCTGAAGAAAAACGGACATAAGACATCTTAAACTTTTGTGCGTTTTCATTTTGATGGGTATAAGATTTCACTTCCCCCCCCCATAACTAATCCTTCTCCGACAAAGTTTTGTAAAAGACTGAACAATTTCCCAATGTTGAACGTCTTTTGAAACGTAAATTTCCTTAATAAAGTCACTTGGTTTGGACAACACTAATGCTTACCCCTGGTTGTCGAATGTAATATGCCATGTCAGTGTGTAAAGACAAGGCACCACTTGTGTAAGCTACATGATTCGGGTCAACTTTGCTCTTCACTTGGAAGGTTGGTCTAAAAGGTGTTAAAATTGATACAAGATAACTATTTTTAATTTTGGTGTCGTTGTTCCAGGGTGTCTCCACCACTGCTTGATGGCCCTTCTGACAAGAGTGCTGCGAATGATAACTATAATAGTGTGGTGTGTTTTCATGGGACTTACGGTAAGGCCAAAAAAAGCCTTTTTCTTGGGTCAGCCTGCCCGTCGATTTCAAGCCTAGGCGCAATTTGTTTTTTTATTTCTCTCTGTGAGGGCTGCAACAGCGCCCTCTATTGCTGCACTGCGTCAACATTTTTGGGAGACCGCTCGATCTTTTAATAAGGGCAATAGATCCCAACGCACTCGATGTTGAACAATGATAGGAGACTACGGATACAAAGTTGTTTGTTGTCAGCTTCTAACCATAATAAAGCTGTCTAAATGTCTAATAAAGCTGTCTAAGTCTAATGGCTCGACAACGTGTATCTGCAAGCTCTAACCCTGGAGGAAGGGAAGAAAAAAAGCCGCCTCGCGCATGATTTCCTGAACAACTTGTTTGCGGACAAAGCTTACTTCCTATTTTGCTCTATTCAGGTCTGCAATTTTTGCCATAAATGACCATCAATGCCAAATCAATTTTAGTGATGCAATTTGAGTGCAAAATATAAGCAAGCATAATGATTGTTGCGAGGTATATAAATAAGCAATTAGTGATTACCCGTAGTTGGAGGGCCGCAGGAAGGCCACTCGTCCCCCAAGACTGTGAAGCTGACCCACCTTGGACGGAGCGTTCGTCACCACCGCAATGCCTCGACTCACCAGCTCAGTCAGCCAGTTGTACAAGGCTCCGTCGTTCTTAAGTACCTCATCGAAGTTGAAGCTCTGAAGGTCGATATCAGCGCCCCAAAAGTCGAACTTGGGATCCAGATATTGGTCTTGCTTGGAGTCGATAAAGCAGTAGGCCCTCAGCCAATGAAAGGTGAAGTGGCTCTTGTGTCCGTCTTCCCAGTGGATGATGACGCCATTGGAGTCGGGAGACATTTCAACCGATTTAGCAGTGATATCAACATTGAGCTCGTAGGCGTATGTTTTCCGAGACATGGCTGTGGGATGGAAGCAAACCGGGCATTGACAATTGTCTCGAAGCCAGACAAACGGGAAAGCCTGCCTCAGGCCTCCTTTCAAGGAAACGATGAGCTGCTTGTTTTCCACATCCATCCCAACATCACTTGTCATCTTGGCTCGATTCCGGGTACCGGCATGGTCCTCCAGTGATATGGGAGGGGCAAAGACTGCGTGCTCTGACTGTACTGAGAAGCACTTCATCAGCTCAATTGATGAACCTCCTTGACTCGACGCACCATTCAGAGGCTTGGTTGAACCAAAAGCGTTTCGTGCTGTGCGTACCGCAGGGATAGGCCGACAAATTCGTAACGATGTAGCTGCAAAGCTCGCCAAACTAATGACACCAAGTCTACCAGCCATATTGACCTGTTGAAAAAAGGGCGAGATTTGGAGACTTGTCACGCTGGTGGAAGCGTGCTCGGAACCACGCGTACATGCCCCGAGGGCGTGGTTCATAAAACTTCACACTTGATCGAATGTCATGAATATCAATCTTCTTTCCAAAATAATTAAGATTAATCTTGTTTCTCTTTCATAAAAAAACTTAAGATCAATATCGATCTTAATGTTGTCTTGAATTAATCTTAACTTTTTAATACAGGGTGATCCACACCAATTTTAAGGGAAAATAATCAATCTTAACTTTGGGCACAAAAACTAAAATATTGTTTCCCAAGGTGTTTTCAGTCCACAATGTTTGGGATCAACATTTTCAACGAGATGGGTAAGAAATCCACACATTTTTAAACTACTTGTATGCCCTCTCTTAGAGAGAGCAGCTGTCTGGGGTATATTCATTCTGTGGAAGGAAATGAAACCGATGAAACAAACAAAAAAATGAGGGGGGCTCAATCATTAATAGAAATGGGCCCCTTTCTCCTTTGACAGTTTTATTGCATTTCTTTTAACAATCAGTCTTGAAACAAGGACACACTGAAGAACAGGTTAGCGTCAAGATTATAATTAATATTTATTCAAATTCATAATGGGGCATAGCCTTCTCACCCACCAAAGCAAAAAACATTGTTTGATCTGCAAAGCCAATAGTCACTGTGAACATCTAACAAAAGAAGCACTGTGCAGTAACAATGGACGATCCTTGTTGGTGCACTGTGTTTCTTTTGTTCGATGTTCATAGTGAGTGCAGTAGCATTATGCCTGCCTTGTAATACATAGTGTGGACCTCTGCACGTAGTCGTTAACAGGCTTATTCTAGCTCGTCATATGTGAGCGTCGCTGTGATTGTTTTTTTGGTTTTGTTTTTGGTGTTTTTTTGGGGGGGGAATAAAAGGTAGCAAGCTGAGAATCTATCATTGGTGGAAGGAAGGTCAATTCCGAGGCACGTGTATTTTAAAATTAATTCATAATCTCGTCATTCTTTTCTCCTCTATTTCGTTTCCTACCTTCTTGTCTTGTGCGAGGTTTGCCAAGCATTGTAAGACAGCGCGCAGCCAGGTTGGAAGGCTCATCATGACGGGGCTAATATTGAATGCAGGGTAATGGTCATATTATGGAACCTGTCTAATTTAGGTCGTCTATGAGTACATTGCAACCAAGGGAGGATCCAGGGGGTGTCCCTCTAGCCCCCCCCCCCCATAAAAAATAAAAAGATTTTTTTGTTCTTTTTAATCAAAGTAGGATATGAAGTGCCTTGAATCAATCGAGGATGTTTGTATAGACAGGGCAATTTTGTTCAACATGGTTTGTAAGCAGTTGTTTAATTGTGACTGGTAAGATCAGTTAATGCAAAAGTGCTTGCCCCCCCCCCGAATAGTGGGTCTGGAACCACCTTTGATTTCGACATACGCTGCTGTGGTCCAGTACCCATCGTTGGAAACTATTATTCAGAGAATGGGCTCCGATCTTTACGAATTTTAATTTAATTTAAAAATTTTACAACACCTCAGGCTTTGAGCTATCTGAAAAGTTGTGGTTGGTACAAACTCCCGGGGCTAGATTGACCAAGATCCGGGTCTATATAATTGGTTGGGTCAAAAAGTTACGTTTCCGGGGTTACCTCGACCCTATTTTGAGTTTGAATGACTTTGAAACTGGGAATATCACATTGTTAAAAAAAGGTCCTTTGCGGCGCAGAGCTAAAACATTATTTTCCAATGTAGGTTACCAAATGAATTGAATGTCGGGAAAGACACCATAACACCCGATTTTAAAATATGAAACTAAAAAAAATAAAATGAAACAAGTTTGCTTACATGTTAGGATAAAATCACCGCAGTTGGGTAATCTGCTCGCTCAACAGTTAGGCAATTCACCTGGGACCCCACATCGGTACAAAAAAAGCCCAGCGTTTTTCCTCGGGAGGTTAATAAATAACTCGCATACACTTGCAAAATCAAATGAGATGTCAGCAAACAAAAGAAAATATTATCAAGCAAGCAGGTGCAGCGTTTAATACTGTTAATTCCTTAATTCAAGGTAGGTGCTTGTTGGATATTGTGCTTGCAAGAGAGCTTCCAGTGTGTTTTGTTTTCATTTTAGGCTGAAAAATGTAGAATACACATGGGCTACCGCAGCCCCGAACTGGTGTTTGTTTAGCTGCTCTGTTCTTCGTGCTTGCCATGTGTGAAAACACAGTTTCGACAGCTATTTTCCTATTAATGAGACCACGTATACTTTGGAAAACATACCTCAGATCATCCACTATTTCCGATAGATTCCACTAGGCTCCAATTCGAACAGCGTGACCAGTGAATATATCACGACGACGACTGCAGAAACACTTAACAGCATACGGCAGATAATGTGACAACATTGCTCCCTGGAAGTGTCATTATCTTGATTTCATGTGCTGATAACCATTTTGAAGTGGACTTGTCACTGCAAAGTTCACACTGAACAATTGGAGCGCACCAATGAATCTTGATCGACTTTGATCCCTTACACGTCTTCTGAAAGAACAAAATTTATTCCACCTATCCTACCCCCCTGGGGCAAGTACTGGAACTGACTTGGTGCACTCTGCCCAAGGAAACGAGACAGAGGAACAGGACCCTTCAGTCTGATTTCTGGGCTTCTGGTCACTGGCGGGTAGCTGAATATTTTGGGATTTGTGATGTACCTCAGCCTTTCTTCCCCACGTGAAGACAGATTATTTCATCGATTCCAAGATGCGTTTGAGTATTTCTAGTGCTTTATGAGCAATTCCTGACCTACAGCAGTTCGTCACAATAGATTTACAACAGTGTTAGTCTGGTTCCCAAACCGGTATTACAAAAAGCAAGCGAGCGCGCTATGCCAAGCTTTAATGAGGTATGATATCATCATCTCATTTACATATAAGCTATGACAGTGCGCTTTGGTTTCAGAAATTATGGATAACCATTAAGTGACTGTGCCCTAACCTGGTAATTTGATCCACAAATTATGCAAATATTTATCGATCGTCTGCACCCACGCCGCGCCTCGACGCGTGATGTGAGCTAGAGCTTAAGCTAGGCACGGCTTATGCACGGCCATTCATCCACAAGATACGCCAGCAGCTGCAGCTTTACTACCGGCGGGCAGCGTGGTCGGCCTAGCCTTCCTGGCGGCTGCGGATGCATGTACATTGCATATGTACACGGTATGATTAACGTGCAGGCAAAACCCGGGCCCAGCTCTCGGCCGAAGAGGAAGACTGCAGAGAAAGCTGCAGGCTTTTACAAATCTTTGTCAGAATTTCCAAAAATTGAAACAACATGTACACCTCTTCAATGGAATCCAAATGCTACTTTTGATGTAAAGGTATGTTTCAGTTGGACCTGTTCCCCTAATTCTTTTGTAATTTTACCAATTTTATCTGGACAATTTTGGCACAGCACAATCGAATACTGTTCGTGCCATAGTTGGACGATACTATTTTGTTTTTACGACGGGGCTTACTTGCATTGGACTTTTTTTGGCTTTATCGCAATTTTGCAAAAAGTCATTCTGTTTGTTCTTTTTTGGGGTTCTTCTTCTGCTCAAAAGCCCGTTTGTTTTGTACACGTTTTGTCGCCGCTACTTTAGTGTTTTGCAACTTTTGATCTTCATTAAACTTATGCCAATGAAGAACCCTTGTGCATAGATGGTCCTAGAAACATGACGTCATCAGGTGATTTAGTATTGATTTTTAACTATTTATTTCAGTCCTGTGACTTTGTACACGTTTTCCAGGCACAATTTGGGTTACTTCGCGATGCTCAATCGTCATCAAAGCTACAGCCGGCAAAGACCATTGCCTAATTTATTACGTCATGATGACGTCATTGCCTTATTTTATATTGATTTTTGATTGAATTTTAATTTTCCCTATATGTTTTGTACACGCTTTTCTACTTAGCACAAGTGAACGAATAGTCCTTTACTTTGGCTCAAGATTACTATAAGAACGAAAGAGAAATCGGTACTTTCCAGTCTGTTATTTGACTCAAGATATGCTTAACAGTCCGAATATGAAGTAATATTTCATAAAAACTGTTCAGTTTAAGCGCAAATCACGTGACATGAACTTAAAGGATCAGTGTTTCTGCAAATGAGTTGATGGCCGATTGACTTTGTACACGTTTTTGAGGCAAACGTTTGGTAAATTTGCGATGTTTGATCATGGACAAAGTGATAGCCAACAAAGACCCTGATGCAAGGTTTATAGAAAATTAACGACGCCACGATAACGTCATCACTTCATTTTATATTGATTTTGGAATATTTTATTTCCCCATAGGTTTTGTACACGGTTTTCTACTTAACACAAGTGAAGGAGTAGTCCTTTACGTCGGCTCAAGATTACGATAAGTATGGCCAAAGATTCCTGTTACAATGTTAATTAATGTCTAGAGTTTTGTCACATTCCCTAGGCCTGTTAAAAGGGCTACTGTAGGACTTGAACAGCTACTTCTGAAAGCAAGAGGTTGAAAACAAATGGGGAAAAAAAGTCTGTCGCCTTGATGGATGATCAGTTATTTTAAAGCTGTAAAGTGAATGCAATTAGCAAGAACAGTGGTTGAAAAACTATATATAGGCCTACACATATTTTCAATAGGCCTATTACTTTTACTTTTGAATTTCATTTTTTGTTTGCTTCAGATTGTGGAAGAAAATTTCTCCTGGGCACTAGTACACTACATTGGTCGGGGTGCAAATGGGACAAGTGGATACAAAAGGTGAGATTTATCGTTCAAATTTAACCAAGCAATACTAGGTTAAAACGAAATAGAGTATGATTTGTCTAAAACTGACATCTACAAGGAATTTATAATCACCTGAATGGTGCAGAAAACATTAAATGCATGTAAACGACAGAACTCTTGCAAAGTACATTTTTCTCGGAAGCTTGAGATAGGAAATGGAATACAAGGTGTCTGCAGAAATAGTCAGGTCTCTGTGGCTTGAGTGCAATCGATTGCTTTAGAGTGACATATGCAAATTTTGTGGTCTTCAATTTCAGACAGCCATCATCACTAAGAAGATTTTACCGACTGAAGTTCAATCAGCAGATCATTTGAAGGCAGCATTCAGACTTGCTATACAGAAGAAAAAACACCTTCATAATTTACTGCAAATTTTCACATTTCAGGAAAAACCGGAGAATGACTGCATTCAGTTTCCCTTTTCCAATTAAACATTAAAAAGTCTTAAATTGATGCTTCATAATGCGAATTTATTCATCTCTATTGAAAATAATCTTAAAATGTTGCACTTGTTTTTTTATTTTGTCAGAAAAGACTTGTGTTATAACGATATGTGCATTTTCTTTTAAATTCCGCAAATTCTTGACTGTAGTTCTCAGAGTTCGTTTTATGTGCACATCTTTTTGTTTTTTGTGTCTGATTTTTTCGCGGACAATACAATTGACGCATAAAAATCACACTTACAACACAGTTATAAACTTGTCTAGCCCCATCAAATTTTTGCGCAAAATTTAACAAAGGATAGACTTGAAAAACCCCACCAAATTCTCTATTCAAATTTAACAAGGATTAGATTTTTCTATCCCTACTAGTTCTCTTTTCGAAATTTAATAAGAGATAGATTTGTCTATCCCTGTAACAATTTAAAAGTTGACAAGGAATATAATTGTTTAACTAATGAATTTTACGTTCAATATATAAACTGGAGTTGTCTTTTCTAGTTCAAGCTGATGGGTCATTTTATCGATTAGGGGTCCATTTTTTTCGTTGCCCTGTCACATGTGGTTTGGTAAGTTCAACACACTCTATAGTTTCCGAGAGTGACGAATTAATGCATACCAACTTACCAAACCAAACAAGTACGAATAGCTTGAAGTTAAGTTTAGCCATAATTTCGTGTAAAAGTATACAATTCTAATGTGACAGGGATACAAAAATGACACAACTTTGGACCCCACATTTACGGAATGACCCAAATGCCCTGGGACAGACGTAACCCCCCCCATGAAGAGTAGAAAATGAAACATAACTCAGAAGAGCCGGGAACGAACCGTGGTCCAGCCCATCGCAAGGCCATATGCCTACGATGTTTTCAAACATTCTTTACCTAGGCCTCCATTTCATGTTAAGAAATAAATAGTGAACTCATTAAGAAGAATTTTCATAGGCCTACGCTTGAAAAAATGTGATAAATATCCAAAACCAAACGGCACTAATTTCGCAAAAACCTACCATGGCAAGTTGTCAGTCATCATCATTTGAATTGGTACATGCTTATGTGAAACCAACACCCGCGTTTTCTCTGTGTGGCGCAAAGTGATAAAATGTTGTCTAAATATAGTAGCGGGGACAATACCATTATTTTGCAGGGGTGACGTATGTTTTGCGCGCTGTGTGGATGTACAAGTACAGTAAGAGTGCACACTTAATAGCGTGCGCTGTTTTGTTTGGGGGGATGCAAGTCATGAAAAGTAATATACCCAATACACTCTTGTCAATTAAAGTAAATGTACTAAAAACAAGATTTATTCTTGTAAAATCTCAGAATGTTCACAACAAACTGAACTGTTGATCACGGAAACTTCAAGTTGAATTATTTTTCTTCCATTCGATCACAACAAAATACTTTTATAGTACCAAGACCACGAACTCTTAAGTGACTGGAATCACAAACGAGTTTTTTTCTCAATTATGTTATAGAATTCTGATTAACTTGAATTCACTTTTACACAATTTCATAAAAAGTATGTAAGCAAACACTGATTGGGTAATTTCAAGAGCAAAGACAATCATCTGTTTATAACTTGTTGTAGAGCTGGTTTTCACAGGATTCGTAACTGATATTTCATTTCTCACATGTTCAATATTTCCCTCAATAGAAATCCAGTATGTAGTAATTGATACCCTTCACATGTACCTGTGCATTACAGATGTATNTGAGATAGACAAAAATTCTCTCAGAGTATTTGACAGAAAGAAACACAAGAACTGTGTAAAACTGGAAACATTTGTGGCTAGTATTGGAATATCAGGTTTTTCGTTTTACATAGGCCAGTCATCCAACAAACTCAAATGGAGGACTCTCACAGGTCCTGAAAAACTTGTCTTGTGTCAAAACATAAAACTGTCTGAGCTTCTCAAAGACATGACTCATCTTCTTTGTAAATTGAGGACCTTCAATTTTTACGGGATGAGATGTATGATTTGTGTATATCTCTTCGCAGTGAACATGGCACATTTGCACCAGATGAATTGTGCAATTTCAAGACCAGAAGTAAAGCATGTGTAAAGCATCTGTTCACATCCATCTACCACACGACTCATGTGACCCCATATATGTGATATGTGACCCCATTTATCCAAACAAGCAAATTAAACTGCCTTGTGTTTTAAGGTTTGATAAAAACAATGGTAGTATTTTCAAGTTATTGCGAATTTAATATCTTGCACGAGAATCGTTTGTCCGTAGTAGTTACGTGCGTTGATGGAGTACATGTACATGAATTTGCACATGTGCACACGTAAGCCGACCGGTCGACAGAGAGCCAAAAGTGAAATTGATGAAACTAACAAAGGACAATATTCGCTGTAGCTTAAACATAACACAAACATAACGGTAAACTTTTTCAAACACTCTTTCAGTTATCGGGATATGCAACATGTGTGGACGAACGGGAGAACAATTCAGATTTTCAAGTTTAAACTATACCTGTTTTTACGTTCAGAAATGTAACGTAGACATACATCCTTAATCCCATTTTCTCCCAAATGTTACTTTTGATTAACAGGAAACACATCACAAAATGAAATCTGAATCCTGATTATATTTCTCTAATATAAATTCAGCAGATGTTTACACAGTTTGGAAAATCTCCGCAGATAGATTTTGGTGTAGTCATTTGCTAGCTGGCGTTGCCCTTTGAACAAGCAACAGACAGTGACCTCGACTTTGCCGAATTTTAGCGCATGTGCACAAACTTAGGTGAAGGGGTGAACATACGTAAAAGGTAAAATGCCAGTGAGCGCATAGCGCAAACTTGAAGCCTTTACGGCATAGAAGCCGGGCAGTTTTGGATTCAAGGCCACTCTGTGGTGCCATTTCAGGCAGTATAACTCTTTTTTTCCTTCTCCATCCATCTCCTTCATCTGTTTTAATTCATCTGAATTAATTTACCTATCCGTACATTTTTAAGGGGGCGTGCGTGTCCCTCACTGCATCCCGGCCTAACACATAATGATCAGTAGATATAACATGAGTGAAACACGCGTACAGTGATGCATGTATCGACCGCCGAGGTGGATCTTCGAAACCTCGAGCTTACGCTTAAATCGAAATTCTTGTCGGCTCGTTTTGTATTCAAAGAAAAACGCCAACCCCCAGATTTGTCAAAGAAAAGTGACCGACATGACCGACAGTGTTCTGCATCTAAAGATGTTTCTTTCAAGCAATCTAACGAGGCTGTTAGACGGCGCTAACGGCGCATCAGCAAACAACACGCCAGGCATCTATAGTTATGTAGCTGTGGACGATACCTGTCTAAGACTTTTCCCAGCGTCGTCAAGGGGCATCCAGGTCAGGAAGCCAGACTACAACACTGTGAGTATAAAAAAAAATATCCGCGGGAAACATTGTATCAATATATTAGTGACGTCTTGTGCCAAGACTAGTGCGAGTGGGCGACTGATTTCTCATTATCCGTATGGAGCATGCGCAGAATGTGCCTCCATAAGGAACGGGGATTTCCCGACCTTTCACAATGGCTGCGCGAATCCCAACATTTCTCACTGCTGTAAATTACAGAAGTACGCAATGTGACAGACGGCGTTCACTGTACTTGCACGCACAACACTGCTGAGTGCGTCATTCGTTGTCAGCTGTGGAACGCGCTGACAGGAAAGCTGAAAACTGGACTAACCACTAGGAAAATCTCAGCATTTTACAAACAGACTGTTTCGATTCTTTGCACCAAGCAAACTATTCCTCTCACCAATAATGTCTTCGTTGATGAGTCGCCGAGAATGCTTCAAAATCCTTGGCCTACCACCCGATGCCAGCCCTGGTGAGACGATATTCAATGTTCTTTATTTATTTATAACGACTTGATCTATGCCAACATGGCTGACGTTGTCCCCATTTTCGATCAAGGAAATGCGTCCATTGCTTGCTCCATTTTTATCCGTCTCGTGCAATATAACCCTAGGGTAATGTGAAATAATTTTGGCAAAATGCTTGTGTTTATTGCCATATTGAAGTCAAGATCCGTCCGAGATCCTCCAGAAAAGAGCTCGATCACCAGGCGCACTTCGTATCGCTCATTTCAATTTTCAGAGAAGACATACAAGGACCAGAAACAGGAACCTGTGCATGCGGCTTTTACCTGTCCCATATATTGCAGTACTTAATGGCGACATCCTCGTTTTGTGCAGACATTGCGCAATATGTTGTACATTTTTGTCCATGTCCTCCGATTGTCGACACACGCTACAAAAACGAATTTTCCTAAAACCTGATGCAGACTAAAAACCAATCACCTCGGGAAAACGTACTCAAAAAATTGAACTCGAAGCATCCCAAACCATTAAGAGTCGACATGAAATAGCTTGGTGTTATTTTTGACGAGTCAATGATCTTTGACCAACAGTCAGTCAGTTATATGACGTTACACGACAAACACCATCTGCGACAAAACAAATCATCAATGCTTTTATATCGTGAATTTTCGACAGCAAAATTATTCTGAACGGCTGGCATTGGTTTATTATTATTATGAGAAAGTTATGTTACTCAGTGACTTTTTCATTCATGCATTTATGCGTTTCATTTTGAAGAGGCTATCAGGCAGGCGTACCGTACAAAAGCGAAAGACTGCCACCCGGACAAGAACCCTGACGACCCTGAGGCCACAGCAAGATTTCAGAAGATTAGCCAAGCCTATCAAGTACTCCAAAAAGGTAGAAAGCATGGTAACATTCTGCAGAAAGTATAAGCCAAGCAATGCGGTAAAGTTAAAGATCAAATTTAAAAAATAAAAAGGGAATGCAACAAAGTGAAGTGACGGTATGTGTGTCACCATTCTAATAAAATGAGAAAATGTCAGCTGGATCCAAATCTCTTGTCTAGAGCTACGTCTAGGTCTTCGCTCCATTAGAAATGCGTGGAGACGCACACACAATAGCCATAGCTCTGGAAGCCCGATTTGGACACGGCCAGAGAGTCGCTTTCCGACTAGACTGGTTCCCTTTCCATACCCAAAGTCTCCAGACGTCTTATAGACGTCCTCCGAACGTAGGGACGGGCAGCAGGTAATGAATCCGGCAGAATCCTGCCAGGTCTGTGTAAATGAGGAAACGATGCTCGCTGAATGTACAAATCAAGCAGAAATTGATAGCATATTTCGCCTTTTCTTCTTTGGCACTGACACTAACTTCACCATAAATTGATCATTTGTCTAAAATCGAGCACAGTAACTACTGATTAGAAATAAATTGCCGTAAAAAGGGTTTATCGATGTTAATCATTTTAAAATGGATTACCACAATTTGATCAACAGAGGCTTAACCAAGACAGGCCCTTTTCTTTTATTTGCCTATGCGTTGTCTTTGGCCACTGTAACCTCTGGTTCTTGCGACTATAGCAAAGCATTTCCGGCATAGTTCACTGTCTCATTCAGCTAACGGAAGCGTTTGTTTTTGTTTTTTGTGTTTTGCTTTTTTCAGATTTCCGTGATCCTACTTTTGAAGACGACAGTGCTTATAGTGGCGGAGGTTTCTCCTTTCTGGATCTTTTGCTGATTTTCCAACGAGAGGTAACACAATATGTAAAGGACTTCTCTGTAGATTCCTCACGTTCTCAAAATTGTTTTGATGCTTACAGCCAATTTGTGCTCCCTCTAAATTACTGTTTTACATAATAAATAGCGAACAAAAGTCATGACAGGATGTGAAGCCATAGCGTATGTGTCCGCTCCATTGGGATTTTGTTGGGGGCAGTATCACTTGTGACAATATACACAGACTAGATTGAGAGTTTCCTCTGATCTTCCGTCTTCTGCGTACATCGCAGGTAAAAGATCTTTCTGTTTGTACTTCTCATCGAGTTTAATAGTGTTTTATTGCCACCAGTGATTTTAAACTTTTGCTGGTCGCAGCGGCGAAACCGTAGGATACATGGCGTGTCCTCCAAACACAGCTCCGGTGCCCCAGGTGCCCCCCCCCAAAAAAACGCGCACACCTAAATGCACTACTACTCGTCAAATTTCATTTAAAAAGTATTATGACTGTAGTAATTAATCATGAATGGTTGAAAAGAGTTAGTGCTATTTTCATTAGGTGTCTGCAGCCGAAATGGATGCAACCAAACTCAATGATCCAATGTCAGTTCACTGTCACCAGAATACACCCAAGAGCCAGCTTCGGGATCACTGATCACGATCAAGATCCCTGTGAAACGAACAGACCCTTGCACTCTCTAGCTTGTCCGCCATGGCTTCGGTTTTGTAATCAGTGTGCTGTTGATGAACGTTTGCTTCTATTCACAGGTCTTTAATTATTTTATTTATTATGGGGAAAAGGAGCACCACCCACAGGGTGCCTTAAATATGGAAACATAGATTAATTAATCTGAACTTGAACTTGAGTGATCACTTTTGTAAATGGTAAACATAATCCGTTTCATTTTTTTCTTTCGCATGACAAAAAATTCACATTTCCATCACACATGGCTGAGCACAAAGTGGTTTAATGGACCGTGTCAGAAATGGCTTTGCACCAGCACTCTGTGTATGGGTCACAGATTTGCACAGCATTAAGCATAAAGTATACTACCAAAATAATTAATTCGAAGACAACCACAGTTAAGGGTTTCTTCTTGCCACAACATAGCCCCAGTGTCTTTAAATATGCCCCCCCCATTTCTTTCAATCCAGAAGAAACATGCATTTTGGAGATTCTTGCAAACATTACGTAATTCTGACAAAGCGATCTCTGGACACTACGAATTCAAGATCAAAACTGCTATTCGGGCCAAAGCATTTTCTGACTTGGTCCATTAAACCACTTCATGCTCCGTCATCTGTGACGGAAATTTGGATTTATTGGTGTCATACAAAGAGGACATCATAATAAAACAACTGATGGTTACCATTTACCAAACAATTAGTCACATTAAAGAAAAGACAAATTTATCCAAGTTTCCTTTCCCATAAGTAATCCTGTATGGCGTTCAGAGAGTTCCAGCCCCCCTTACTCTGCGTTTTGAATTTACAGCAGCTAAAAAGTTGGGGGTCGCCCTTTGTGCCACCCTATTTTATGCCAGTGCTCCTCCCCAGGCCCCACATTAAGTCCTGGCTACACCATTTTCTAGTCTTCATTTAAAGAAAAAAAATAGCCAACTTTATAATGCTTCTGTAGCATGAGGAGATTAATGCTTGGACTGAAACACTAAATGAGAACACGGCAGTCTTTGAAAGCAATGTGACGAATATTTTGAGAAAATCCACATAGTAATCACAGGCGATTTTTCTAGAAACTTGGGCCACCCGTACGGATGAGGGCAATAAGAAAGAGGTGCATTATGCGATTTGTACATTCCTCATTAGACTTTGCCAGAAAAGCTTAACTCCACCTAGCAATTGTGTTTTTTTCTCAGATGTTACTGGAAGAGATACGCCGACGAGAGGCCATGAGACGCCAAGCAGTCTTCAGAAATTGTATGCATTCAGTTTAAAATATTTTAAAACCTATAGTCGCAGTCCTCTTTCTTGAAACGCAAAATCTTCTTCAATAATTATTTATTATGACATTACACTGTTGATTGAATGCTTTTGTACTCTTTTTTGTGATATTTAACTTGCTGCATTTGTTTGCAGTGTTTGGAGGTCCATTCTTTTCACCACGCATGCGCATCTTTGATGACGATGATGATGATTATGACGTCTATTATGACTCCTCCGACTCGGACGACTTCAGTGTAATTGACCATCTTTCTTTCCTAATAAGCCTTTTGCGAGTTAAATTTGAATAGAATCTGGTACACTGAGTTATCTGACTGCACGTAAACATAACATATCAATTCCCCACATTAACGACGCTGTTGCTGTACTTCGTGATTCGTGGCAAGCTTTTGCATCGCGACCACCGTCTCTGGAATGGACTGGTTCCTTTGTGCCCGTCTCATCCATTGAAAAGAGTATATTGAGGCAAGGCGTCTTTTAAGTAAGTAAGGAAAACTTTCCCAGACTAATGAGTATAGCAACAGTATCTGTAGTATAGAGAATTCAAATTGTTATGTTCTTGTGACTTTGAAGAACTCATTGTACCAGATTTTATTGACGTTCACAAAAGGCTTATTGCTTCCTGTGAATTAGTGGGGGTCAATGGAACTCAATCTCAAGTTCCGACCACTGATCTTTGTACACTGGACAGGCAGCTCTGCTCTGCGAATTGAAGCGACTGAGAGACCATCTTAGGTTATTCAATACGATGGCATTTTCCAAATCACTGGCTTTAGAGCTATGCATGAATGCTCTTAGTGAATGGACTGAAGTTGGAGGCCATTGTATTGAATAGCCTAAGATGGCCACCCGGTCACTTCAATTCGCACATAGGCAGTTACTGCTGAGCTGCATATTTAGTGTATGGAGATCAATGGTTCCGACTCCAGTAGAACACCCAAAGAATCGTTGCCTTATTAACTAGGTTTCCATAATGGTCGTAATGAACGCCGACGGCACGCAAGACGTCAGGGACTCAGACAGTCGCGAAAGAGACGCTGCATGACATCATTTCACAATAGGCCGGCCATGGCAGCTCAACGCAGACAGCTAGTGAAGTTGAACCTGATCCAACTTTACAAACTGTGTGCATCAATGTTTGCTTTTAATGACGACAAAGTGTTTCCATAACATTGCGTATCGTTGGGGACTGATTGCCGATGCTCTCTGCGTCTTCTTACGTCGATATGGAAACTAGGCTTTAGATAACTGACCTCGATGTGGAGACTATCAGTTTAAACTCACCACTGTTTTTCTGGCCTTTTGTTTATATTTCAAATTTTCTGATTAATACAGTTACTATAGTTACCACACATCTGATAAAGAAACCCCAAAAAGGTGAAGCAAAAAAGAAACCACAAGAAGCTGTGACATTATGTTGGGTATAACTGTTCCCGTTTTTAATAACTTATAAACACTTCTTGTTTACATTCTCATTTGACACTAAAACGCAAAAATAAGTAACGTTAGTACTTGAGAGAAAATAACAGTTGAAAGTACAAAGAGAAACGACGACGCAGTAGAGTCTGTCAAGACAATTATTATTAAGGATTTAGGTTTCTGAAAAGCTGCTGCCATGCAGTGCATAGATTTGCTTTCGTGTTTTACCTGTTTTCCTTTCTTTCTTCTTGTTTTGGTTGTTTTATTTTGTTTCGTTTCCTTACTGACTGGACAACTTTCATGCATAACATTGCCATAACATGCAAAAACATTCTTTGTATTTTATTTATTTAAATCAACCCGAAACCTTTGCAGTTTTGCAGTGATTATATACCTCGACGGGAACGTACGCCCAGCCCTCCTTGGACGTCCTACACTTCTCGCCGACCCCAGCAGCAGTCAGAGAGGGCTGAGGCTCGTTGGAGCGCCAGCGAGGCCAAGAAGACAACCGACTGGTCTGAGGCGTGCCGAGGCTCGTCGAAAGCGGACTGTGGGACTTCTGGGCAGTATCAAAGCTTCTCCTACCGATCATTCAAATCACAACAGGTACAAACCAGCTGCGTGATAATATAATACATAGGACAAAAACCATATTGCAAGAGGGTGCTGAAAAATCATTTATTTCTGTGGCAAGAGCTTGACTGCAGCTTGAAATTACACACGAATTCATGGGAACGGTTGCAGGCTAACGTGCACGTCCAAGCCACAGCTGGGCAAGTTTGACCAATATGTGGTTATGGCTGCAACCTTTCTATTGAGTCGTTTGAACAAACCACGGAAAAATATTTGAGACACGGCCTTGGGCTGCCACGTCAAAGCCAGATACTTGTAGCTATTTGACTAGGAGTTCGCTGCATGTCTTTGGTTCTGAAGACATTTTTTTTGTATTCACTCCAAATGTACCCCTTTTACCGATTTGGGACAAACGGATGATGTAAGGCCTCGTAGGTATAATGTAATTTCATGTCTAAATTGGCTAAGGTGTAGGAGTTTCATCCTGAAATGCATTGCAAGAGATCGTTCATTACCTAACCTAATATTTTATCTGCACAGCGCTCTCAATTAGATGGAGACTTAGGTTTGACTGTAAAATTAATAGCCATTGCTGAATGTGTCACGTGAAAATGAATTAAAATTTAATATCAGGGTTTAATTGTTCCTCGAACGATCTCGTGGAAAATCAAATTAGAACATGCAAACAGGATACATACAATGTATTTTTTTTAAATATGCTTGTCCTTGAAAAGTAGGTGCACAGAACCGTGGAATTCGCCTAAGAGTGTCACGACAAGCTTTTAATTAGTGACATTGAGTGGTACAAGGAAACCCGTGCATTAAATGAAATAAATGCACAGCTCCGCCAGGTGTTCCTTTTGTTGGGTACAATTTCACTTACGTATTTACCAAGCTCATTTGAAATACTCTACTTGGTCATGTGGACGGTCAGACCCAACTAGATGTTGAGTAGAAATTTAAACTTAAGACTAAGGATAAACATTTGGAACATGTTCTTTAGGTGGTCCTGTGTCAGATTAATTGATATACCTGTTAGCCAGTAGGTTGAGACACTATTCATTTGTGTTCTCTTTTTTTTAATTCTAAATTTGCTCATTAAAAACTGTTGAAAAACTTTGCTTATTGATCTACTGTCATGAACTAAACCAACATCAAAGTAATCCAAATTTACGACCATCCAGGGAATCAGGTAAGCAAACGTTTCTAAAAATTGTAGTTCAACAATCTGTAACTTTAAAAACATTGCAGGTTTGCTCGTAATTTGTCATTACTTTAAAATCAAAATGCTGCCTTTATTATGGCGCATAAAGGAGAAATCAGGGTATTATTTTGTTTGAAAAAAAATTGTTGCAACTCCAAAATCGCTTTAAAAGTCATAATATTTCTGCCAAATCTACCACTTTGCATTTGACAGGAAAAGCATGATGAGCGGCCAGAAAACAAAGAGGCAGTTCGTGACCCTCCTACGGATGCGGGAACAAAGCATCCACGACCTAACGAGCCAGGCGAGAACACAACCAGCCTTACCGAGGAAGTTATTAAAGACACGGAAGAGGCTTTCAGCAGAGCGGCTGCAGGCGAATGGGATCAGTGTTTCAAGGTGCCAGTCAAGTCGCATCAGGTGAGTTAAAGGAAATTTTCAGGAATGGGGATCTTGCAAACTTGATCGCAGCACTTGACTTTTGACTTGTAATGAGGTTAGCAGAAACAAAAACTGCTCGGAAACGCTCTTTCCAATTACGAAAAGCCCGCCAAAGGCCTCTTTTTTTCAAGTGTTTAAAAGAAGTTTTGTTACAACACAAACAATTCCATAGGTTTCCCTCTAGTTGGAGCAGAAATCTCCCAGTTAAATACGAGGCCCATTTAAATTCGTTTAATATGAATGCCGCTTCATCTGAGCAACATCATCAACCTGGACGGCAAAGGCAAAATCTTGTGTGCAAACAATGCAAATAAATGAAAATAGTAAATGCAAATCCAAAAGCTAGTTGACGAAAATGGACGGTTGTTTGCTGAAATTGACCCAGACCTATTCAAAGCAGAGTCAAAAGTATTTTGATTTTTTTCTGCGTTGAGCTGCTTTCCACTCACTGTTACCGTTTGTGTTTTCATTTCCTCTTTAGGACAAATCGAGGAGAAAACCGAGAAAAACCAAAACGGCCTCTACGTACGCTGTCAACGTACCAATGGTATGCCAAGGAGTCAATCAGCAACCAAGGAAACCTTCATTGCACTAAACATTCTTTCTAGAATTTGATAAGACTTCACTTGCAATTAATACGAAGACAGTGGAACAAATCCAGCATCTTGTGGACCCTCTGGCTTGAATGATTGTGGGTATTATAATACACGTAGATGCCTTTTTCCGAGAATTTAGACTCATTTTCGTTCGATAAATTGTAGTGTTATTTGGACTTTGTCTTTTTCGTACAGAAAATGACCAAGAAGCAGCTGTTAGCCCAGCAGAACAGACGTCAAAAGGAAGCCAATGAGATCGGCAAAGAACTTCGTGCCAAAGCCGAAGTAAATATGAAGTTGAAAGAACAACTGAAGAACAGTGGCAAGGGGAAAGGAAGCGAAGCATGAAACACTGGGCAGGAGGGGGCTATAGTGGAAGTGAAAACTTTAAAAGCCATCTGCTCTTTCTAAAATATTGCCTTGAACTGTTTTCTCTTGCTATAAACTATTTCCCCTAAATGTATCAATACCTGTACATTTATCATATAATACTCAGTGATACAAATCATATCCTTATATTAATATTTAAATATTTTGCAGCTTAATTCCACAGACATGTATACAACCAGTTTCCAATATTTTACTATGTTCATGCATATGCTGCTAAATGTATATATTCCTTAAGGGGAAATTTCATCAATCAAAGTAAAGAAGTACTAGATTAATTCATGGCTTCTATAGGCTGAGTTGGGTGTAAGTCACTTGCAGGTTAAATTTGAATCAAATCTGGTAAAATGAGTTTTTTGTTTTCATGAACACAATTTAAATTCTTCATACTAAAGACACTGTTGCTATACCTCGTTATCCGGGTCAAGCTTTTGCTTAGTTACATAAGATACACTGTTTTCAATAGAGAGAAAAGGGCACCAGTCCATTCCAGAGATGGTGGTCGCTATGCAAAAGCTTTCCCCGAATCACGCGGCATAGCAACAGTGCCTTTAGTCTGGGAAATTAACCTGGCATCATGTAACTCAGTGTCCCAGGTTTTATTAAAATTCAAATCGTAAAACGCTCTTAGAAGCCAATACTATGGATCATCCCGTGCGTTGCATTTCTCCCAGACCAATGTAATGATGTCACTAGCCAACCTACGTGCATGCGCTCAAGTTAAAATTCGTGAGTGTGATGGCCCCACGGGAATGGCGTGTTAGCAGGAAAAATCCTCGTTTCGATTCTTCAGCGATATTGCATTGTTTCTTTTGTAATCATTTCACGATAAGTACTCGTTTTGTAACCATAATAGTACCTACGTGTAAAATGTAATTGGATATGAGTTCGTTGAACAAGTCTAGGCCTCTTTATACATTATTTGCATTTGGGGTTTAAATATTATTTAATTAACACTATCTTTGAAGCATTTATATGCCAAGCATTTGTTGTGGTGTCGTAAGCAGATGTTTTAGTGTCATTGTTCGATGAAACCTTGTAATTGCAGTTATTTCCTTCACCATGTCTCCCAGTTTTTGTGATAATTTGCTGACTGATAATTCCGTTTGGTGATTTGTGGCTTCAGTTCATGACAGCAGGCCCATAAACACCTGTCAAAGAACAGCGTCTTCCTCGAATACTGCTTCAGAATGTTCAAAGGAAAAGCATATAAAATTGTAAATGTTGTTCAAAAGCATTTTTGCAATATAAGTATTTACAAAAAGAGAGGTAATTCTTGTATTATGTTCAAGAGACATGTAGGGGGAAAAACTGAATTTGAGCAAAATACCCTAGATATTTCCAGATGTCTTGTAAATTAAGGATACATTTGTTCCTATTTCGCATGGCTTTTTCGTATTAAAGGCTGATATTACTTTCTTGGTTTTACAAGAAAGTGAATGCCGGACTCGTGCAAGTTGAGGTTTGCAAAGGGTGCGCGTTCTTGTGTTGTTACTTCCGTCATCAAACGCCGCTGGACTAAGAACAGCGGTGTGGCTGGCCCCACTCCCCCCAACATGAAAATTCGTTGCCCCAGTCCCCTCCCCCAACTTGCGTTTCGGACACAAAAACATTTTTGAACCCAGGTTCCTAGTCCAGGGGACGCCATTATTGATCAGGCCTACACAAACTGCATAATCCAAATCGGCTGCCAGTCAGCCCCCCTTCCACTTTAGCGTGAAGCCCCCCCCCCGACTCCTGGCTACGCCACTTACTAAAGAAGGTGATCAGAAGACTTGGCATAGTTCCCAGCTGTAAAATAAAGATGTAACATACTTAAGGACTGGAAGTATCAGTGTCTCGTTTATGGAAAATTTCTCAGGCACCATTTGTTCTTGCTACCTGCAGTATATTTCACCGGGCTGTCGCCTCCATAGACCAGAACGGCTTGTTCGAGCTACTGACGTATTCAATGGTAAACATTTAGTAGCGAGAGAAAAAGTTTAAAGCAATATTGTTCAGAAAATAAATGCCATATCCAGTACAGTTTTCGCTTCCTTTACCCCCTCTGCCACTCAGCTATGCTATGTTTCCTTTCCCTTTAACATTGTTCTTCAGTTGTTCTTTCAGCTTCATATTTGCTTCGGCTTTAGCACGAAGTTCTTTGCCGATCTCATTCGCCTCTTTCTGACGTCTGTTATGCAGGGCCAACAGTTCCTTCTTGGACATTTTCTGTGAAAAAAAACACATGCTCATCATCGCAAGTTCTCCCATGAAAGCTGAGCCTACATTGCTGAATATACTCATACACCATGAATCTTACAATACAAAATACCCATCGTCATTCAAACAAGTTGTCGGTTTATGTCGGACATATGTTGCTCGTCCCCAGTCGGCCATCCCTGGCTTTCATCAAGTCAGCCAGCTGTACGTACCTTCAGCCAGCTGTACGCACTACACGGTCGTCGCGCTTGGCCTGGCAGCTCGCATAACCCTTATAATACGCCACCCCGTGGGGGACATGTAACTACATGATCTTGCCTAATGTATACGGAATTTCTACCAATCAAAGTGGTCAGACTTGTAGACTCGTTCATTCAAATGCAGATATGAACGACGTAAAAATAAGTCCGGCAATGTGATTGACTGCTACTACGTTTGGTAGATGAGTCCATTCGCTGAATACAAACAGTTGGCAGATTAGTCGGGATTTCTGAACAGAACCCATAGTAATAAATGGACACAAAAAAGGGCGCGAAGCAAGTAATGCCGCGCAGTCTCGATGTGTATCCAAAGCATAAACGAAAACGTCACAGACATACGGACTTGGGTCAAGTCTAGGAGAATCCCGACTTGAGTCAAGTCTATAACCAGCCTGGAAAGAGCATACGCAGCGAGCAGAATGTGACCCCCGCTAATGTGATGGGGATTCCCCGACGTTTTACAATGGCCGTGCGAAATCGTGGCATTTCTCACGACATTGTGCAATGACAGACTGCGTTCACATAAACACTGCTGTTTATGCTCATGTACAGTACATCTACATGCGTCACACGTTGTCAGTGGCACCTTTTGCTCGGACAGGGAGCCTGAGGATTGGGCTCACTACCGTAAGGGAATCCCAGCATTTTACAAGGTGATCATTTGGATTCAGAGCACCAGACCATCTGCTTTACTAACCGATGATGTCTTCGTCGATTACTCGTCGAGAATGTTTCAAAATCCTGGATCTACCACCCGATGCCACCTCAGGTGAGCCGACTTTAAATGTTTGCCATTTTTGTACGTCCTGGTCTACAAATGCCAATATGGCTGACGCTTTTTCCCTTTTTGTTCCGAGGAATTAAATAAATGCTGTTATAATCATGCCAAACAGGGCTTAACTTTAGAAACAAATAATCTACAATCCTGTGCTCCGCATGTAATATAGGCCTGACGTTGTGAAACATTTTGGTTGAATGTTGTGTAGTGTGTTTATTGTTGAAGTCCGTCAAGACCTTTCCTAGATAGCCTATCCTCTGAGACCGCGATAAAAAGGCCCTTTTTTAGTACTCATTTAAATTTTCAGAGACGACATACCCCAAAAAACTTTGGGGTCCGACGTCCGCCCTGTTTGTGGGAGTGGGGTGGACATCGGACCCACAGTTCGAGGGGGAGAGACGACACACGCTTCAAAGGTACTATAACGGAAAACCTGTGCTTTTCACGGTTACACTGTGTCCGAAGACAACACCTCCCAGCATGTTCTTGAGCTAGGCTGTAAAAAATGACTGTTCTCTCCTAATGGAGAACAAACCTAGCGTCACCTCGTGAAAAACGTACTCAAACTTGAACTCGAAGTACCGTTAAAAAAGTCAACATCAAATAGCCGCTGTGTTAGTTTTGACAAGTCAATGAACTTTGACCAACATGTAAACCATCCTGTCTCACGACGCGAGTAAGGCACTAGGCCTAGCGCACGACAAACACCGCTTGCAGTTGTACAAATCATGAGATGTTTGGAAACATTTTTCCAAAAGCCAGTTATTAATGAGGTTTTTGAAATTTATGTGCAGAACAGCCGACATTGGTTCAGATCGAGTGAAATTATATGTTCCTGATTAATTCATGCACGACCTCCATACATAGTACGTAGAGCTGTCGGAGATTGTTTCATATTTCAGTATTGCACTCAAGTCACTCAATTGCACTTCCATTCTTTGTAAACAAAGATTTGCTCATTTTCCTCATTTTTTTTACTTCAACATGAAAAAATACATATGTACCTGAAAGACTGAAACTTTTGCAGAATAATGTGGGAGAACTAATGATAGCTGACAAAGTTTGATGTAAAGAATAATTCAGAACGTTCCACATAGACCACAACACTATCTTTGCCCCTTTGAGCCCCAAGTGTGAAATACAAGTGTATGGAACAGCCACCAACTGACCAATCAGAGAGAAGAACCAAGACTAAATGATGTCATCCCAACCATTAAAATTAGAACAAAGTTCTCCAACGCACCCGTTTGTTTCTTGTATGCTATATGAAGAGGCCATCAGGCAGGCGTACCGTACAAAAGCAAAAGACTGCCACCCGGACAAGAACCCTGACGACCCTGAGGCCACGGCGAAATTTCAGGAGATTAGCCAAGCCTATCAGATACTCAGAAAAGGTATAATACTGTAACATCCTCTTTAAATAAAAAAAATAGCTATGTGACAACAAGTCACTAAACACCATGATCATTCCGTCACCGTTGTCGGTAAGTGCGATCCATGAATATCAGCGTCGTCCACCACCCAACACCGTGAGCCATAATAAGGACATTCCAAACTTAGCATATGTACAGGTTATGGTTCAAGGAAAAGGTGATGATGCTCGAACAGATCACACCCAGGAAGATTTTTATTTATCAAGATACTGTGATTTTTTTCTGTTCAGTTCATTGAAAATATAGGAATTAAAAAAGTTAGGTTGTGGCTTACTGGTTTATGAGATTCGTCAAGCCACTTTCGAAGTCGTTCATAGTCTTGCTACTTATGTGTATATTAAAATCTGGACTCCCAATGCCCTTAAGCAGCTTATAGAGATCATTAAATCCACTCGCGGCCATTTTACCGAGCTGAACACAAAATTTTCCTGGCAATGCCCGCCTTTGTTCTTCCTGATGTCAATAGAAGGGAGCCAACCCACGCTTTTGTATTCGGCTCGGTAAAATGGCCGCTGGTTGGCTTCTTCTTCATACAAAGGCGTTGCAAGTCCAGGTTTCTTATATACATACTTGAGTCTTGCCCCAAGACTGGTTTGACTGTTTTGGCCAGTGCACCGCGCAGGCGACATGAGCTGACGAGCACAGCCGAAACACTACCAGCACTCTTATATTCACGGGAGAGGCTGCCAGATTCCACAAGACAGTCACAGTTTCTGGCAGTTCTTCCGAGGTGAATATAGCACCCTTTAATGGTAATGCTATTTGGCCTGTGCTCGCTAGCTTATGTCGCCTGCATGCACGGTGCACCAGCCAAAACAGTCAAACCAGTCTTGGGGCAAGACCAGTGTTATAAAGAGTTACTCGAGTCGAGTCATTTTCACATTGTGACTTGAGTCGAGTCATTAGGTCAACAAGTCAAGTCACTTTGTGTTTGAGTCAAGTCAAGTTCCGAGCTCGAGTCAATTTGAGTCACAAATTTTTTGACAAAATACAACAAAAACACCACTCTATGTAAGTCATTTTTTGGTATTTTTATTTTCATTTAGACATATTGAAAATAAACTAGTGTAAGAGGTATCTAGCCAACTAAAATTTTGCTTTAATTTTTGAGACTCGAGTCTTATAAGCTTGTGCTCGAGTTGAATGTCCATGAGAAATTTGAGTCGAGTCGAGTCATTTGGTCGCAGAGACTCAAGTTGAGTAATTTACTTGAGTCGAGTCGCCAAAAAGTGAGTTGAGTCGGACTCGAAACGAGTTATCGACGCGAGTCATTACAACTCCGGGCAAGACTAATTCGTTCAGTGCCGCCATCAAATTGACACCTGAGGTCAGATATAGAGACGTTTACCACAAATTCATGGAAACTACGGTACAAGCGGATTTGGGCTGTTTTCCTGGAAGCTTCAGTGCTGCACTGGGCTCTGTAAATTCCAGAAAAATCAATTGATTGTTTTTATTGAAATTACTCAAGTCACATCTTTTCCGTGTTTATACCTTTGCTAGATATTGTGGGGGTTTTATTTTGGTTGTTTTGGTTTTGTTTTAGTTTTGTTTTTAATTTTTTTTTGCCTTTTTACCATTGTAGCTATCATAGCGATTACTTTGGGGTTGTTAAAGGCAGCTACAGATAATGTATAGTACCCGCCATTTTTGGGTTGGGGATCGTTTATCCGGTTAACAAGTTGTCGTTTTTGTCACAATGGCTATCAAATGAGCCCTACACATTCCCTGTAATTGACTGGCAATTGCAGTACTATCCAGGTGTGACATAGTTCACTAGCTTAACTGCACACCTGTCTAAATCAAGCGTTGTATTTTGTTCCTCAGATTTCCATAATCCTACTCTCAATGATGACAGTGACAGTGATGACGAAGGTTTCTCCTTTCTGGACCTTTTGCTGCTTTTCCAGCGAGAGGTTAGCACGCCTTACAGACATTGATTTTATAATTCTGCTTATTTTGAGGGAATCTTTTCGATGCTCACAGCCACCCTCTGCTGATCGCTACGGACTGGAGTGTTTCACATTTCAAAGAAAATACGGGATGCATCTGTTTTATGCTTATAGTTAGGTTTCTTCATCAAATTTTGTTTCACACAATAAGCCCTATGTTCACAGTTAAATTATGGTCGTATACAAACAAAAATTAGAGTAAGAAATAAAGTAAAATTAAAATTAAATAAATTTACTCATATAACAGAACAAAAATGCTTTAATTAAATATTAAAGACCCGAAAAATCAAGACATTCAAAGGAAATTGATGTCTCGAAAAAGGAAGATCAAAACAATAAAATAGTACGAGGGTCATAATTATTTTGATTAGACATAATGATGATAGTTGGGCCTAAGTGGAAAATCAGTGAAATGATTAAGAAATCTTGAAATCTTGCACTTATTTGAGTATTCTTCAAGTGGCGCTCAGCATGATTTTAGGTGCAGCACGATCACTTGCGGTATGACACACTTGTAGTGACCGTCATTCCTCAGACGACAATGCTATGTACTTTCCTTTGTTCCTACGACAATCTCCCATGGACTTAGCACGCATACGTACTTTCCAGCACCGGTTTCGAAAAGGGGTGAACAATCGGAAAAGGACATTCCCTCTGTCCACTTCGCTGCCGTTCAATCCCAGTGAAATGACCTCGCGTTTTCTACGCCTTTTTGCTGTAATTGGCTGGCAAAATCAGTGCAAACGTCACAAAAATAGTTCACAGAGTGTTACCAATTCGCAAACAAACATTAACTGCTGTTACAGATACTTTTAAGATCCAAATACGTGTATATAATTTCCAAACTCTCTGTGGATGTCAGTTATTTAGAAAAAGCCTAGATTTTCTCGTATGCATCAACCTAAGAAGTGTTGAAAGCGTTTAACACAATGAGAAGTGATTAGAATACGCTAGTGTTTACAAGTAAGAAAGATCTTATGTTAGTTAAAAAATAGTACGAGTGAGGACTTTTTCAGGCTCTGAACAAAGGACAAACTCCTGGCGCGAACAGTTCTTAGACGGTGGAACGAATTGAAACAAGACCAAGTTCACTTCAACAAACGGCCGGGAATAAACTTAAAGGCGAGGGAAACATGCACCTCCTGTCGCAAAAAGGGTGGGAAAAAGCAACTGCAAAACAATGAACTGTATACCAATGGCGTAACTCGGGGGAGGAGGCGCGCAGGAGGCCGCCAAGCTACCGCTTTCCCCCGCTTTAAATTAGAGATTAAAAGAAATTGGGTGATTTCTCAGTCGGTATTTTAATTGTGACTGAATCTGTGAGTGTCCTTCTCTCCAGAAAACGAAAGCATCGTAGCGGCGTATCCAGCTTTTGATGTGGGGGGCCGGCAAATTCTAAAGCAAAATCGACCATAGGCTCATTCAACATAATGTTGGAGGGAAATAAATATCAAAAGCCGTACTCATTGGCCCGACATCCCTCCTCTTATTTCATGGTGTGTCTCGTGGTATTGTCTCGGGGTTTTGGTTAATATATTTAACAATGTACCAATTGCTTTCTTTCCTGTGAAGTATTCTAAAAGAAAACTGTCAGGGGGCAACTTTCCACCTGCTCCCCGCCCCCTGCTGTATACGCCGCTGGGGCATCGATTGCCCTCCCTCCTGCAAATGTACCCCAGTTACGCCACGGCTAAAGACTCAGATCACAAACTTTCTCTTCCGGAATCAGATTCAGCTCTATAGCATCTCCTCAGTCCAGACCAACGTCCTTCATCGTCCTTCGTCTCCTTCGTTGAGTTTCAAGGAGATCGCGAAGATCAAAGTCCTGTACTAGCCCAATCCTTCTAGAAACACAGCTGCCCGCTTTTTTATAAGTTTTTCATTTCCAGCCGTTTACTATCAAAAAATCTCGAATGCAACCTGCAGTCATCCATAACGCTCGCCTCTCAAAGTCAAACAGGAATCACATTTTCATGCAGCAACATTATATACTAAATGTGCATGCAGCCACATTGAAAAGTAATGGATGAGAAATATTTTCGGATTACCTCCCATGAAATAAAGACAATATGAAAAGGTTTATGGAGATTTTTATATTTTCACTGCAAGACATTACGGATGACTATTCCATTCGCAGACTTTTTTTTATTTGACTTTGTTACATTAAGTTACATTTAACTTTGTGCACCGCCTTGTAATCCACGGTAACATACATTGAACATTGTATTTTTACTACAGATGCTACGCGAAGAATTACGAAGAAGGGAGGCCATGAGGCGTGAAGCATTCTTCAGGACATGTATGTCCGGCTCCTCTTAATAACCTTTAAGAAAAACATAATTACAGCTGCTTCCTTTTTATGAGTAACACGATTTTTTTTGAGAATCAGTCATGATGTTATATTTACGTTCCACCCACAGCAGCGTGGTTGCTTTTTAACTTTGTGTATAGGCCTAGAATATCAATCTTGAGTTGTTTTTGTTTGCAGTGTTTGGAGTTCCGCTCTTTTCACCACGCATGCGCACCTATGAAGACGACGATGATGACTTTTTCTTCATGAACAACAACGTATTCAGACCGGTATTTCTTCATAATTCCATGTACTAGCTAGCCAGAGGCACAAGAGAGCTATCTGCTTTGCCACAGTTCATTCTTGACCAGTGGTGTACGGACATTGCTCACTCGTGCCGTCGATTTACGGAAGAGGTTTTACCATTCGTGACTTTTCTTAGTGTTTCATAATTTCTAGCTCACAGGACAAAATCTCAGCTGCCAGCTACAATTTTGTGTAGTGGTTACTTTTCTCCCTTATCATCGCTGTGACCGAGGTATTTTGCCCTTATGGGAAATACTAAAGAAAATTTGTTGCTTCTTGGGCAACATAACTATGTTACCCACAATCCAAAACCAGACTGAAGCTAATTAAATTAATTAATTTTATATCCCCGATGTAGTGCAACTTCCTCTGTTCGTGTGAGTTCCTCTGTTGTTATTATCCGTAATGGCCAAAGCTTCCTGCAGACAGAATAACAGTGGGGGCGAAGGATTGTCAAATATCGATTAATACTTTCTTCTGCCTGCCTTGGGAATAGCGGGTAACACATGTTGAGTTCATTCTTAGATACCAGTGTGCGGCGTGCGTGTCCTTGAGAAAGGCATTTCTGGGTTAGTTGCTTTTCTCCAGTCAAGAATGGGTAGGATGTTAGAGGAACTCGCAGATACATTTAGAGAAAATACCGAGGCGGAAAAAGCTTCACATTCAGTTCCGAGTTGAGATGCCTTGAGGAATTTCTTTTGCTTGCAGCATTCAAGAAGTGATTATGGTTATGTAAATTCCGGTGCTTGTGACAATAACGGGGGTACTCACTGGAGATGAGGGATAGTACAAACTCAACCAAATTTCTTTGAATAGACCGACTGCGGCCACAAAGCATGTGACCTATAGTTGGTATCAAACATTAACAAACATGTTAGGTATGGAGGTTTCCGGTACCACCATGCAAGGATATCCTTGCATGGTGCCGCAAACCTCTACACCAAACTCGCAACCCCCACCATGAAAAGAAAGCTCAACAATGTGGTTTAACCCCTTAGCAAAAAGTGTCATAAGTGTAATTTACCAAATCTAGAGCCAACGGTCGGAAAATTACTCAGAATACTGATGTATTGAGTACTACATCAAAAGTCGGTTTAATGTTTTAGGAAATACACTCAAAACCCACTATATGCTATGAGAAAAGTCAGGTTTATTGATCTTTGACATCCACTCTAGGTCACGTGACTTAGCGGGCACAATTGTTCTGTTGTAACCGTGCGTATTTTTTGTGGTTTTAGAAATACAGTGACCGGGCACATCAGCAACCAGCAAGCAGCGACCAGAGCACATCAGGTGAACGGCGATACCATCAAACTCGACCCCAAGTTCACACTCCGGTATGTTGTCAAAAGAATTGTTGCCTTGTTACAGGACTGGCTTTCCAATTTGAATGTACAAAATACCAGTTAAACAGTTGTCGGTTTTTTTTATTCTTTCTGAGGCCGTTTGATCCAGTTTTACTAGTAAACACCTTTTCTCATTTAAAAATAAATACCATGTACCTAATGAAAGAGCACCAATGAATAAACGGCAAAGAAAGAAACAAGATATAAATCCAACTTTGGAAAAGGTATTTTTCCAAAACAACACTCAAATGTCGGCCTAGAAGGAAATTACCCTTCGCTAACAAATACAGTTGAAGCCCAAAGATTGCATGCACCTGCAAGAGATTCCATGATGATGCTTTCTTTAGCCGATAGACAGGGATAGGCAGTCCCTTTTGCATATTTGAAAGTTGAAACTACCAAAGAGAATCATTATGACAGTCAACAAAGGAGAGGCAAGGAAATGAAAAACAAGGAAGATGGAACTGTCAGCGACGATAATGGAAATCAGCAATTTGATTTCGGCTGTCTCTGTTAAGAATGCCGGGACAAATCTCTTTCTCGTAGAAATCTTCATTTCCTTTTTCATTGAATTCCTTCTGGATTGTTGGCAGTCAAGTAATTATCGTCAGCGAAAGCAACGTCCACCAAGCCCTCCCTGGGCCTCCTATACTCCCCATCGATCCCGCGAGCAGCCCCAGAGGGCCACGCCTCGACGGAGTGAGAACACCAAGCCAGCAGGCCAGCCTAAAGCGGACTGCGGGCCTTCTGAGAACTCCCACAACTTCTCCTACCGATCCTACAAATCACAGCAGGTACTCTGCTCTTGCTGTTATTAGACGACTGTGCCCAGTCTGGTGTATTCCTCTAATAAAACTCAGGGTGTTAAGCTAACACCATTGTTTTTACATTCTGTGTTCTCAATTATTCATAATCCTTTGCAGAACAAGCGTAAACAGCATTCAGATTGGACTAAACAATTCAGGATGTCCTGTTGCACCATGAATTGTGTGCGTGAGCAAGCTTTGGTGGCATTTATTTGTGGAAGTTTTGATTTATGTTGTGAAGGTGGGCTTAGTGAATACGATCTCAGAACGCGTATAAGGTAAAGGATCGATCTTAGAGTTGGGACTTGTGTTAAGTTCTACGAGGTTACTACGTAAGTTTCCACGGGTTACAAGATTCGTGAAGGCTCGTGGCCCATCAATTTCTTAAATTGTGCCATTGTAAAAGTAGCATCCTTTCGTGCAACGCCCAAATCAATTTGACCAAAGCCACAATACGCGCGACTCAAAATATTGCGCCACCAAGAGTTTGCAACGCGTCGGCCAATCACAATGCGCGAAATATCTGTGGACACAATGCGCGTTCGGAAAGGGTCGACAAATTTCGCGCGTTGTGATTGCCCAACGAGTTGCAGACTCATGGGTGCGCACTATTTTGAATCGACCGTATAACATGTCTCTCTGTGTTTGTGCAATCCACAGCATGATGTGCGGCCAGAAAGCGGAGAGGCAACTCCCGACCCTCCTCTGGATGCGCAACCACAGCATCCACGACCTAGCGAGCCGGCCAAGCATGCGCCTCAGGAAGACGCAACAAGCCCTGCAGAGGAACTAAGCCAAGGCACAGGGGAGACTGTCAGTAAAGTGGCTGATAGCGAATGGAGCCAGCGTTCCAATGCGTTCACCAAGTCATATCAGGTAACTTATAGATAAAAAAAACTTCAGATAAAATTTGATTGTAAACTTGGAAAAAAATAGCTAAAAATTAAATGCAGCACTTAGTTTCAGTTTACCAAATAAACGAATTATTACTGACAGCTAGCTTTTGAAGTTAGAAACTCCTGCCCAAGGTCTCATTTCATCTACTATACGAAACAAATTTGGAAACAGCAAATAGGTAATACGTGGCTGTAGGGCAGAAAGCATTGTAAGTTTATTACGTTAATTCTAAAAGAGCTGAGTTTTTTTGGACAATTTCACAGCCAAGTAGGGGAGGCAAATTTCACCCGCGATCTCAGCTGCCCATTGCTCTATTTTTAAAATTTAGCATGCATTTAAAGCATATCCCTGTCAGTAAAATATTTTCACATAATAATTTCGCTGTTACGGTCAGTTGAACACTTTAGTGATATCGGAAAAAAATGTTGAAGGGCAAATTCCGCCCAACTCTTTTGGTGTTAAGGTGGTTTCCACTCATGCACATTGTTTCCCATTTCATTTCCTCTTCAGAACAAACTTTGGAGAAAGCCCCAAAAAGCGCCTGCCTATGTCGTCAGCACTCCGGCGGTATGTCAAGGAGTCGATCAGTAAACCAAAAAACCTTTACTGCAACAAAGATATTTTTTGCTTAATTTGATAAGTCTTCACTGGCAATTATCACCCGGATGATGAAATAGAAATGTTCTGTATCTCATAGGCCAACTGGTTTGAATGACGATGGATATTTTGTATTGTAAGATACATGGTGTATGATTATGTACAGCAATGTCGGCTAAGCTTTCATGGGACAAATTGCGATGATGAGCATGCGCACTCCGTTGTGTTTTTTTTTCCACAGAAAATGACCAAGAAGCAACTGTTGGCCCAGCATAACAGACGTCAGAAAGAGGCTAATGACATCGGCATAGAACTTCGTGCTAAAGCCGAAGCAAATATGAAGCTGAAAGAACAACTGAAGAACAATGTTAAAGGGAAAGGAAACATAGCATAGCTGAGTGGTAGAGGGGATAAAGGAAGCGAAAACTGTGCTGGATATGGCATTTATTTTCTGAACAATATTGTTGTAAACGTTTTCTCTCGCTACTAAATCTTTACTATTAAATGTATCAGTATATGTAAAGTTTTTATATAATATTCAGCGAGACAAAGTGTATCTTAATATAGATATTTGAAAATAGTAGCTTAAATCCACAGAAAATATGTAAAAAGAAGTTCCCTGTATTTCATCATATTCAGGCATTTCTGGTTAAATGTATACACCCCATAGCGGGGAGTTGCTAAAACTAAAGAAATAACTCATGGTGTATAGACGACTAGAATTAGACACCGTATTATTACTGTGGGACCATCCAGTGCGCACGCATGTGGTACCACGCGCGTTGCATTCCTCTCGAACCGATAGGATGTTGTGACAGGGCAAAAAAGACGTGCGTTGGCTAAAGTTAAAACCTGTGCGTGAGTGTGATGGCCCCACTTGAAACGCGTCTACTTGGATTTATCTAAACCGGGATAACCCTTGTTATTTGAGTCTTCGTGCGAATGTCTCGTTTATCATCTGTAATCACTTCGTAATAATAATAATTACAAAACAACTGAAGGACGTACTTATGCAATGCCATCTTTATATGAAATCTATCTAACATATATGCCCCTGTCTACAATATTGTTAATGTTGGGTTTACCGTTTACGAACACGGAAGCATTTTTATCTCGGAGGCATTTTCATACCAAGTATTTGTTACGTTTTCGTAAGCCTACGTCATCTTCGATGAAACCTTGTTATTAGCTGTTTCGGCGACTTTGCGGAAACAACTTTTGTTTTCCTTAAGAATTTTTTTGGTTTTTTTTTTCGCAATTTTGCAAAAAGGTAGTTCTTTTTCTTTATTTTTTTGGGGGGGTTTGCAATTTTCCCAAAAGTCATTCTTTTTCTTATCTTCCGTTTATATTTGACTTTTTTGCAATTTTGCAAAAAAAAGTCATTCCTTTCTTTTCTTTTGTGTTTTTCTTCTTCTTTAGCTTAGATGTGTGTCTTTTGGAGCTCCGGAGTAAGTGGAGAATTTGTGTATCTTAAGAGTTTGTTACTATAGTTTGACTTAATTATTGTATTTTGTATTTATTATAGATCAAGCAAGACCGTTTTGGGCCTGTCGGGTCTTATAACTTTGTAGCTCTACTCAGGCCTCTGAAAAACTTGCAGCAGAGGATCTACAAACTAATAAAGAAATTGGAAATATAATCTCTCTTACCTTTATTATGAATTTTGTCCTCTTTTATTTTCTCTTTGTGATAACACTGTCATTACACTCAACGCGAAGGGCTCTTCCTCTTCCGTCAAAAATGTTTCCCTTTATTCATATACCGATAGACTTTGCAATAAACCGGATGTCAATTTTCTCCAAGAAACCGCTGACTTAAATGAACAGTATCCCTCCTGGAATTCCTTGCCAAACGACACCCCTTTTAGCAATTCCAGCCCCTCGCGTGGTGCGGGGGTCACTACTCTTTTTTAAAAATGATATCACTGTTCTTGAGTCTACTTCTCTTTTGACAGTTACTTGACTTTTAGTAAGCTTCCACATGGCGAAGTTGTTTTCTTCTTGTATAATTTTCTAACTCATCAATCCGACACCAAAGCTTTAAAAGTCATTAACAACTTTTCTTTTCACAGTGGCCCCCTCAGTGATGGTGTCCTTACTGTTGGCAGTAATGTTAATTATACTTTTGATCCAAAACTAGATCGTCTTGGTATGCCGACCGAACATGGCCCCAAAATTTCCGTGGCTCTCAAAAATGCCTTTAACAAACTATCACTGTACTACGTTTGGCGTAGACAGAACCCCTCTGAAAGAAAATACACCTGGTGTGGAAGTAATCCCTCCAGCCAGCACGGTGTTTCAAAAAGCCAGGCTGGACCGCTTTTATATTCCCACTGCTCTTTTGTCTTCCGTCTCGTCTTGAAAAGCTTTCCCTAATCATTGGCCGTCTCCGTCTCTATTAAGTTTCCTTCTGCCAGTTGTAAAGAAAGCGCCTTGGGGCATTTCAAGAACACTTTATTGGACAATCAGGCCTGCAGGAATTTCATTGCAGATTTTTGAACGGGCTGAAGGGACAAACAAAACGAATTCCCCGACCTCTGCGCCTGGCGGGACTTTGGAAAAAAACATATCAAATGTCTCACCCAAATGTATGGAAAGAAAATATCTAGAGAAAAACGTACTACTGTTTCCAGAATTAATCAGACTATCGAGGAACCTCTGTCTGCGCGAGACTTTACTGATGACACTCGTCGTTGCCTACAAGAACAAAGAAATGAATTAAATAAAATTATCAATGACGAAGCTCGGGGTGCCCTCGTTAGAGCCCGTTTTTAACATGTCAATGAGGTTGACACCTGCTCGTATTATTTCTTTAATATCGAGAAATCTCGCTCTCCTGTAATGTCACGGAAGACCTCGTTCAAATTAAAAGCAAAAAGAAAACGTCCGGGACTTTTATCAGAATCAGTATAGTCAATCAAAGACTGACAAGGGCGCCCTCGACCAAATGTTCAATGATCTTAACAAACTAGACCCGGCAGACTCGGAGAACGTCGACGCTCCTCCGGGTCCCGAAGAACTGGATGCTGCGGTCAAGCAACTTGGCAAAAAAAAAAACCGCCCGGCCTAGACGGTCTTACATCTGAACTTTTCTAGGGTTTCTGGCCCCTTTCAAAGACGACTCTGTTCTCCGCCTGCAGCTCCGGAACTCTTCCACCCTCCTTCCGTAGAGCTATCATCACTGTCATACCTAAAAAAAAAAAAAAGGTGATCTATGTGACATTGCCAATTGGCGTCCTGTCTCACTCCTCAATACTGATTACAAAACTTTTGCCAAGTTGCTTGCTAACCGTCTTAAACAATATATTGGCTCTGTGGTCCACCAGGACTAGAGTTACTATGTTCCTGGTAGGAACATTTATGATAACATTTGTCTCATGAGAGACATTATCAACTATTGTAATTCTAATGATGTTCCCCTGGCTGTGGTCAACTTGGAACAAAAGAAAGCCTTTGACAATGTTGATCACGGCTACCCATTTAAAACGATGAGAGCCACGTATACCCAGCAAGAAATGAGACCAAGCGGTACCCCCCAAGCATGTCCAATCCCTATACACATTCCAGACTATTGTTACTTAACACATCCCCCCCCCAAGATGTCAGAAAGGAATTCCCCAGATTCCTGTGAGACAATGACCAACACAAAGCAGGGGGGGTTCTCTCCGTCTCATACCATGAAACATATGGAGCCATAGGTTTTGGGGACACGTTTTTATCGTACATTAAACTCCTGTACGGGCGCTGAGAGCCTGGTGAAGATGTGCGGTCCCCTGACCGCACCTTTGACAAATGCATTCGTCAAGGGTGCCCACTCTTGGGTCTCCTTTTATTCGATTGCCATCGAACCCTTTTTCCACAAATTACGTCAAAACTTAAACGGCCACAGTTTCCTTCTTCCTGGTACTGAAATTTATTGCTCTGTTTCGGCATACCCTGACGACATTTCAATTTTTATCACCTCTGTCACCGGCTTTAGTATTGTACGCAAGACCTATAGTCTCTTCAGGAGACCCTCAGCTGCAAATGTAAACACTCAAAAGTCCCAGGGGTGGGGTTAGATCCTGGACCAGACGTGTCGACCGGCCCCTGAACTTTCAGTTGAATAATTAAGTCTTCACTTTCTTCGGAGTTCGCTTGGGAAGCACTCATGCTCACTTTCAGCAAAACTGGATTGTTTGTAAAGAAAATCAAAATGGAAACGTCATTCTTCTACTCTCTCTCAAAGGCAGTTCTCATAGCCAATCAACTTGCAGCTTCTAAACTCAATCACAGCTTGGCTGTTTTTTCCCCAAGATATTATCCCCAACGAACTCCAGGACCTGTTGGTCGACTCCGTCTGGTCCGGGAAACTACACTGGCTCAAAAAACAAACTCTTCATCAGAGAACCGACAAAGGCAGACTCAGTCTTATCTGCATCCAAACACGCAAGCTCGCCTACAGAATTTCCACTATTCAACGTTTTCTTGATCTTTGCCCTCATCCTGCCTACACCATGGTCAGTTATTTTCTTTGGTGTTACAAAAAACTTGACTTTGACATTCAACTTGTCCAAATTTATCTCGAACCCAAATTTTTCATCAGCATTCCTCCATTCTATGGCGAGCTACTGCGTGCTTGAACGGCATCCGGAGCTCGGATTGACATACCTTGGGATTCGATCAGCCATGTTGTCAACATTCTTATTAATAGTACTCTTCTTGAACATGCAGCTGACGAGGGGAACACCTGTTCTCGGCTCCTCTCGTGCAGGATCAGGATCGTCCGCCATCTTCTCCACCCCTCCAACGGTCGCTGGCTGGAAGCCGAAGATTTGTCTTCTGTCTCCTCGAGAATCCGTCGTCCTTCCCTCCGCCTAATTGACAAGTGGCTTTACCGTCTACATCTCGGCCTCCGCTCGTCTTTTCCGTCGCTCTTCGGCTTCTCCGGTCTGCTCTCTCCTCCGACCCCTCTCTGCACCGTCCCCTGCTTTCCAGACACTCCGATACCCTTCTTCATCCCTCCCGACCTAAACGGACTCTCGCTATCTTCAAAGACTCTCTACGACATCTTCAAGGTTTCCGTCAACTCCCACCGCAATCGCCCACTGCCATTGACTCGGCTTTTTCAAGAACTGTAGTCTCTCCATCCCCTGGAATCAGATCTACAAGCTCCCGATTTCCAAGGAAGAAGGCGACGTTCAGTTCCGTCTGCTTCACAACTTCCTGCCTTCTCTCCCTGTTCTTCATTATCTCAACTCTGACATCTCCCCCTCCAGCGGATGGTGCGGAGAATAAGGCACTGTCATCCATCTGTTCATCCTATGCCCTGCCATCCAACCAGCCCTCAACCTACTACATACCCTGCTCTCCCGTCTTTTTCCCGATCTCCGTCTCAACTTTGACCTCTAGTGGAACCCGACCCCAAACGCCAGGAGTCGGGACCGGGACGCGGTCAAACTCGCAAATTATCTCATCGTCAGCCTTAAAAACGTCATCTATTGGTCATATCCTTCTACTGCCGTTTCCAATCCTCTTCTCGTCTGGTCCCACCGCCTAATATCAAAAATTGTCATCGAATATCACTATCACCGCTTGATCTCCTCTCTTGATCTGTTTTTCAAAAAATGCTATATAAACAACTCTCTTTTTACAGTAGCTAACAACAAGATAACATGTCTGATCTAATCACAGCCCACCTCGGCGGTCCTACCACTCCCCAACCGGGGATTCCCGACAGTGGGCGTTTAAGATGCCCACACCAGTGATGCCGGGATCCCCAGTACCCTTTCCCTCCCTCCCTTTACCCTTATTCCCTCCCCTCCCTTCAATACTGCCTTCGTTTATTTCTACTAAACGAGTAACTATTGTGTGAAATTTTCGAAAAGGTTGTCTTCGTATTTACAATTTTCTCTGCGTATCTCTTTCTTTTTTATTATCTTTAATACTTTAACGTACATGCGTATTTTACTTCTGTTTATCCAAGTGTATTTTTGGGTAAAATTTGTAGTCGTTTATTTATGTCTGTCCTTTCTTTTAGTTTAATTCTCATTTACAATTCTGTTGTATGCCATTTTGTTTAATTTATTTTTGTTAATCAGATAGTTTGCTCCTGTCCTTGATTACAAGCTTTTGGCTACATTTGACACTTGTACATTTTATTGTAATCATTCTCGTCAATGATCTTGTTTTAATATTTTTTTCCAATTAATGGTCTTTTTGTACTTTAATTTGTGCCTCTTGCTCTTCTTATGATTATTCAGTAACTTTTTGTTTGTATTCCT